GCGAACAGGTAGCGAGCATTCGCTGGGAGCTCGCCTAGCGAGGGTGTAGCGAGCGTAGCAGAATGGGGTTTTTCTATGCTGTTATACTGTGTGCGCTAAGAGTGTAGTGCCCTTGGACTTTGTTGATTATAGGGGAGATGATTGAGTGTTATAGAATGAGTACTCGGTGATAGTATGTGATTTCCGTTACTAATTATTTAAATGGATAATTAGTTGGTGTATGAATCATGCGGAGCATGGTGTAGTGATCAGTAGGATCGTGTATTCCCGAGTGGTGGGACGTGTTTATATCTTGGTGATAAAGTATGAACTTGTTTACTTGGTGATGGTACTCGTTTTCCTTGATATTGTTGGTGAACAATTGGTTAACGTATATGTATGTAGTGATCAGTAGGATCGTGTGTTCCCGGGTGTTGGGATGTGGTTATATATGGTGTTATAGTATGAATTTATTTACTATCTGATTGATTTATATGGTGTTGGTGTAATATATCTACACATATATGCATTGATGTATGATGATATGATCAGGAGGATCGTGTGCACTTAGTGTGCCTAAATATGATAGTTATGCATTGGTGTGTGCATATCATGGTGTTTTGGTGGGATGAATCATGTCTCAGGAGGAGCGTAAGTGATTCATCCGTACTCCTTGGTGGAGAATGGTGGGGGATAGATCATGTCTCAGGAGGAGCGTAAGTGATCTATCCAGGTTCGATTGAATGAACCAATGAGTCGGTACCGCATGCATGGTGTTGAGTTGCATATTTGCATTATAATATGTTATATTGTAATTTGAACAGTAGGTTCGTTATATGGAGTTGTTGGGGTGAATATTGGTGTGTTGGTGTGTTTTACTACCTTGTTTACATGTATTACATTACCAATATATTTTTGATCATGTTTTCTCACCCCTTGGTTGTTGTTGTGTCTGTGCTTCTCCGGAAGTACAGATAATCCAGGTACTTAGATAGCTTGGATGGTGGTGTGCCAGTCGAGTCTAGGATGCTCTGATACGTAACACGGGATATGGGTGTTTTAATTGTTTTATGTCAAACTTGTTGTAATCCTGTGACGTATCACTTTTTTTTTGTGAATTATAATAATAAAGATTTTACGAAATTTGGCGGATGGCCGAGAATGTTGGAATAATGTTTTCCGCTGTATTATTTTTGAGAATAATTAATAAAGTATTTTTATAAAAATTTGGTGATGTGATATCCCACTATTTTGGGGAAAACTCTGATGTTTATTTATAATGTTTATATTTTATTTAATTTGGGAAGTGGGGTGTTACAAGATGCCTATAAGATGAAAGTTGTTTGGAGATCAAAAGAACGAGCCAATAGGTTTGGCCAAAGATGATGAAAATATGACTGATAATTTCGATAGTGAATCAACAACATCCCTGGACATCATAGTAAACGTGGTATCCGTTATGCCTAGAGAATTCAATCAGGTCACAGAGGTAGAAGATGTAGATCAAAATACTGAATTGGAAATGTTGGCGCACAAGCCTGTGTGCTATTACATAATGAATAATGGGTGTGCCGAGGAGCAAAATGCGTTCTTTGAACGCCCTATAGAGGCTATGAAAGGTCACTTAAAGCCTCTTTACATCACTAGGAAAGTAGAAAATGTGCCTATCAACAAAATACTGGTAGATTATGGCGCAACAGTAAATTTAATGCCTCGTTTTCTATTAAGTAAGATTGGAAAATGTGATAGTGATACTAAACCCCGCAACATGGTTTTGTCGAACTATGAAGGGAAAGTAGACTCCACTTTGGGAGTGATTCAGGTTGATCTTACGATGGGAACAATCACAAGGCCCACGGTTTTCATGGTTGTCGAAACCAAAACTAATTATAATTTTCTCTTAGGAAGAGAGTGGATACATGGCGTAGGAGCTGTGTCATCTTCAATACACCAAAGGATTACCATTTGGAGGCTAGATGGTATCGTCGAGAACATTGAAGCTGATCAAGGGTATTTCAAAATTCCTGTCAACTATGTCGACAAAAGTCAATTTGACAAACATTTGGCGAATATTGCTCCATGTCCTCCAACAGAGTTTGAATTTACTCCCAATGAGGCAACATTTCATTCATTATACTTGCATCCTGTCGAAGGTTTCAGATGAGACAGTGAGGTACCAAGAGAAAGGTTACCAGGTTTCGAGGGGCCTGCGATAGAGCCCACTGGATGGGGAGAAAGATCAGTGACCATGACTGAGTTCGATGCATTAAAAAGAATTTCGGCCTATGTGGCTGAAATCAAACTACAGGCGGCTTTAGAAGCTGCTACCAATCATATGGCTGGCGAAGCCATTTATGAATTCCACCAAGAATGTCCTAGAGAGGACTTCAATCCAAATTATCCAGATAAGTATCAAGATGGAGAACAAGTTCAAAGACTTGACGCCATTTATGAAGACGAACCTTTGGGGTTTGAAAGAGATCCGCTAGCAAACAACGTCAAGATGTTGACACAAGATCCTTTAGAAGAAGTTGATCTTAGTGAGGGGATACTTAAAAGGCCAACATATATCAGCGTCAATTTAAACCCTCAACTGAAAGTCGAAGTGGTTCAATTGTTGAAAGAGTTCAAATACTGTTTTGCCTGGGACTACGACGAGATGCCTGGTTTAAGCAGGGAGTTGATCGAACATAAATTGCCCATGACACCTGGAAAAAAACCTGTCAAGCAAAGTCCAAGACGGTTTGCACCAGAAATATTGTCAAAGATTAAAGAGGAGGTCGAAAGACTACTTCGTTGCAAATTCATTCGCACAACAAGGTATGTCGAATGGTTGGCTAATATAGTGTCTGTTATTAAATTTTTTTATAAAAACTAAATTTCTATATATGAACTATTGTTATATATGATGTGTCCTTGTGTATTGTTGTGGTTTTGGCTTAGATATGTGATAAGAAGTTGGTCTTCCTAAAGATTTTTTTTCTATATTGATAAAAAAAATACCTTTTTTTTATTTAAAAACTAAATTGTTTTTATAAAATAAATTATATAAATTAAAATGATTAAAAAAATATTACATCCAATTTTTATCTTATGATTTAGTCTCTGCTCTTAATTTTCATTTAATTTTGCTTTCATAGTTTATACTTTTTATTGTTTAACTTTATCTATTTAGTCTTCATTAGACAATTTTTTAAACTTAGTTGTTCATTCATTTTACAAAATTATTGTTTTAGTCAAATAAATCACAATCATTTTTATTCCTTCAATAGCTGTGATCAAAGGAATACAATGTTGAGGATTTTTATTTTCAATTAAAACTAGTTGTAGTGCAATCATCTAGAGATATCTCTCTCTCTCTCTCTCTAAAGAAAATGATATTAATAGAGTTGCATTACATGCCACTCTTAAGAATATCTTAGTTGAGAAAACTTACATATTAGGTGCAAGAATCAATTTTATTCATTTATTGATCTAGCTGCAAGAATTAATCTTATTCATTTGTTACTTATCAAAAGGATTGGATGTCATCTAGTTGAGGGAGAATTTAACATGCCAACCCCATGTTTTTATATTCACAAAACATTATTTATCAATTAAAATTTATATTTTTTCAAAAAAACTTTACTTTTATTATTCTTTAAAAAGTTAAATTTCTGATTATTTTTACATTTTTGAAAAACAAGTATTTTTAACTTTTTTTTTTATAGAACTAAGAGCATCTTTAGTGCAGGTTCTGTAATATTAAAATTTTTAATAGTAATGATAGTAATAAGCAATTTGCATTAGAATAAGAATGACATGGCAGGAAGTGAACTAACAATTAGTGAGAGTAAACTATATAACCAACGCACACTATCAAATTTCAATGACTCTGATTATTATTTTATATTATTAAAATATCAATAGAGCTCCAACAACTATAAAATATGGGGTCAAGTTTTGGTTTTTTACAAGTAACCATCATTAAAGTAAAAACAACTCAAATCAATTATAAATATTTTAAATCCTACAAATCACTTTGGGGCTCTTTAATAAAAAGTAAATAAATTTTAAAAAATAAATTTAAAATCAAAGTAATAAATATATTCAAGAATCATGAATGAAAAATACTTGCTTTTATAAGTTGATAAGGGCATAACCCTACATTGTAAGAATAAAAGTTACATCAATGTTATTTAAATTTATTTCTTTTATTAATTGAAAATTTTATTATAAAAAATCATAATTATTGAATGGATTTAATACCGTTTCATCTCTAAATAAAATTTAAAACATAAACAACGAAAATAAATTAATGGTCTTAATATAAAAAAAAGAAGACAAAATACATCAGTCTAGATGGTTTCATTCAAATTATAAACAACAAAAATAATAATGGTCTTAATATGAAGAAAAACATACATGAATCTAAATGTTTTTCTTATGAATTGCTAGTTTTCACACATATTTCTTATTATTTATATTATTAATTTCACCAAATGGTCTTTACCATTTTTTGACACTTAAATTGACTCTTAAAGTATTATAGCATATTAGCATGTGTTAGAAAAGCCTTTAAAACAAATTGATTTAATGTAACTATACAAATAAACACTGATGTAAAATAATGTATACTATATAAGATTCTTTTTTCTTTATTAGTCATAATATCTTAGAAACATTTTTCAAAAAGTGTTAAGTAAATGCAAAAAACACATATATGATATTTGTTTATAAAAAATATTATTATTTGAAATTTGATCTCGTAAAATAAAAATTATGAGAAAATATTTAATCAACCAATTGAAATTGAATTAACACTATATTTTAAAAGTAAATAAACAAATTGAATTAACACTACAATTTCAAACAGTAACGCAAACTTTATCGGAACAATATTTTATTAATAAAATATTAATAATAATAATAATAATAACAAAATAACGACGATATAATTCTATATCTGAAAGAAACGGAACAACTAACAAGTTCAAATCAATTTTTGTTTTTGATAAATCCAATCAATTTTTGTATAAAAAATGCTCAAGTTTCGATCTGTTTTGCTCAAATCAAAATCAAAAACAAAACAATGCAATGCTCTCGCTGTTATTCGCAAACTCACTTCATCTCAACCTCTCAATACATTCTATTCCAGAAACGCTTTCTCGTTTTCGAAACCACATGCACTCGCACGTGGAAACGCTAGGGTTCCGATCTCGCGAAACTTCTGCACCGCACCGGACAGAGACACGCTCGAATACGACGTCGTTATCGTCGGAGCAGGTCCCGCCGGTTTATCGGCGGCGATACGTTTGAAGCAACTCTGTCAAGAAAAAGACACCGATTTATCGGTATGCGTTCTCGAGAAAGGCGCTGAAGTCGGTAAGTCAATTTCGTTCCTCTTTCGGTTAACAAAATTCTCTCGATCTTCTTAAGTTAATTGTTGCTGTTGATTTTCGATTTTTCGATTTTTCTGATTTTCTCAGGTGCTCATATTATTTCTGGAAACGTTTTTGAACCTCGCGCGTTGAATGAACTTCTTCCTCAGTGGAAGCAGCAAGATGTGAGTTCTCTTTGTAATTCGGCGTGCATGTAAATCACGGTGGTATAGTGTGATTCAAACGCAAGGCTCCGATTTAATTTTGAATTGCATTGAGCTTCCTTTTTCATTTTATTTGCAGGCTCCTATTACTACACCTGTTACTTCTGATAAGTTTTGGTATCTAACAAAGAATCGTGCAATTTCACTTCCGAGTCCTTTTGACAACGAAGGGAACTATGTAATAAGGTTTTTATAACGCTTATATTAATTTCATACAGCTAGAGGAATTATTTTCACCTGAAAAAATGTAATTAACGGTATGGTTTGCCTTGGTTTATCTGTTGAAACTTAAATTGTTTATGCAGTTCTGAATATTTTCACTTGGTTGCTGAATCTACTACGCTGAAACTGTTTCTTTCTTTTTCCTTATTTTTAGCTTTGTAAGTTGCTGCATTTGATTTCAGGTGATTTGATCTTTTAACCGGGGAATTGGAAATACTTTATTTTTATCAAACAGTTGGTCTGTGCCATTAGATATAAATACTGTTGGTGATTGTACTGTAGGTGAAGTTGTAACTGTGACAGGCATACAATCTGTTATCTTTCTGACGACATGATGCTCTTATATTTTTAATTACTGTGTTTATTAAATAAACAAGTTTCCTGTCATATTCTTGCTTCTATTTTTTCCTTCTTAATTGATGTAAAATTCAAAATTAAAAGATGCGTTTTCTCCAATTATTGGATATGCTTGTCAAGTTTTCAATGTTTTCGTTCACATATTTTTGTTCCACTCCCAAAAATTTATTCTGGACGATCTGATACAGTCTAAGTCAGTTAGTACGATGGATGGGAGCAAAAGCTGAAGAGTTAGGCGTGGAGATATACCCAGGATTTGCTGCTAGTGAGGTATTTCCGCATCTGCTTGGATGCTACTTCTTCTCTATATTTATTATTTTTTACTGATGTATTTTCATGCCAGATATTGTATGATGCTAATGATAAAGTTATCGGTATTGGAACTAATGATATGGGAATTGCAAAAGATGGTTCGAAGAAGGAGACTTTCCAACGCGGGGTTGACATTAAAGGTTTAATTTTGTACATTTCTTTATTTTGTACATATGTTTACTTTGTCTTAGTTCTTGGAGCAAAAAGGTTTCATTAACTAACAGTTGTCTAGCTGCACCAGCAACTTGACTATGATTTGGATCCATAATTTTTCCCAAGTATTTAGTTCTTTATGAGGTGTAGTTGTTAACTATGTAAATGTACATATTGCATCACACTTAGGTCGCATAACACTTCTGGCTGAGGGATGTCGGGGATCATTATCCGAGGTTTGAAAAGTAAATTTTAGGATTGGCATATATTCTAGTTTTTCCTGTAAATTATGATGTTGATGGCAAAGCCAATCTCCATCCCCGTGTTCCCTACAGAAAATAATCAAACAGTACAACCTGAGGGAGAAGGGAGGTGCGGAACATCAGACATATGCTTTGGGAATTAAAGAGGTAAAACTACTTCGCATATTTTTAAAGTTTTTAAAAAGATAAAATAAAAATTGCCTATCTATTTTATTTGCCACCATCACTTAGATTCTGCAAACTTATACTTTTAGGTTTGGGAAATTGACGAGGAAAAGCATCAACCTGGGGCAGTAATTCATACGTTGGGATGGCCTTTGGATAATAAAACATATGGAGGATCTTTTCTGTATCACATGAAAGATAGACAAGTAAGATTGGATTTATATGACTGACTGCTACCCCATATTTTGATTATTGTTGTACCGCCAGCATTATTCTGTGTTATATATCGAAAAATAAACACCACAACAATACACACATAGCACAAAACCAACCTCACTGATTTTCTAATTTTATTTATGACCAGTCCAGCTTGTTTCTATATCATTTGGCTATGCATTGTATGTTTGAGTTGAGTCTCACAGCTGGATGGTTGCACATTTCTAGAAAGTGCATGAACTCACTGCAGAACAAGATGATATATTTCGATTTGATGAATCTATTATTCTCACCTTTTCATGGTTTTCTTTTCTGACTAGAAATATATTATACCAAATTATAAACAAATCATCCGCAGCTGTATTTGCCAACATTAAGTGAACCTTGCAAGTTTATCTTTTCCTGCCAGTTTTTAGTTTTATTTATGCTGATAATAGAATATTCTTGATGTCAAGAATTTCATTTTCCATCATGACAGATTTCTTTGGGCCTTGTGGTTGCTTTGAACTATCAAAACCCTTTCATGAGTCCTTATGAGGAATTCCAGGTAAAGTTTTTTTTTTTTTACCTTGTGGTTATGTTTAAAGCACACAATTGAGTTTTTTTTTTTGTTGATCTTGCTTCATATTTTTCTAAATATAAGAAAATAGGAAACTTAAATATATAAACTGTCTAGCCATTCTAACATTTCTTATAAAGTGATTTCCTGTCTTTGCTCGACATTTGCCTGAGTTTTTTAAGATTTGTAATATTCCTTTTAATGTAAATATTCAAATATGCATATTTGTGAACCTGGTAAGCCATCTTTATGTTGTTTGTCAACTGTTCCATTTTTCTAGGATGAGATTGTAATTGATTGGGATTTTTGGACTATGTCTGTCACTGTTATGTAAGGTACATACTGTTTCGCCTAAGGAACAGTTTGCATGTTTAACACGGAAAGCCACTTTTACTCTCTGCTGCTAAACTGGTTTTCTATCTTGTTGTGAAATGGATTGTTTCATTTTTCTTGTATGCACACATATTTATGCATTTTATATTAATTAATTAATTCACTTACCTTTCCAAATTCGTAGTTCACCAATTATGTTTTAGATCTTCTTGTGAAATTTTTGCTGGCTGGTTAAGTTGATACACTATCTATCGCTTTAAGAATCTTAAAGGTTACATTACTTATTTTTATCTCAACTCATGGTCAAGAAGTTTTTACTCCTTTTTTTTCCCTATCCCACGTGTCTCATTTGATTGACCAGAAACTTAAGCATCATCCTGCAATCAAACCATTTCTGGAAGGCGGAACAGTTATCCAGTATGGAGCCCGCACTTTAAATGAAGGAGGTTTTCAGGTAATTAATAACATTCCTTTTACTTATATGCAATCAATTGGAAAACAAATGTCCCACAGATATGAAGTCTTTAGAAGTCTTGTGTGACAGGTGTATTAAGATAAAGGGTGCCAAAAAATTTTAATTTTTTATTACGCTAGTGGCCAACACATACTCCGATAAACATTTACGGCAAGGGAAAAATGTGGTGATCCGAGTTTGAACCTGAAATTCCATTTAAAATGTCCTCACAGCCGAACCACTTGAGTGTAACAAGGACATGAAGTGTGCCAAATTGATACTCCTAACTTTTAAGATTTCTAATCCAAAATTTCTCGCTATTTGGTTGGGTCTAAACTCTGAAGAACATAAAATCGGAAGTGGAAGAAATACAGGCAATAAAACATGGACACAACATAACAAAATATAAGTGTCCGACAGTCCATGTACTTTTGAACTGTCACATTGTGTTGACAATGACATAATTTTTCTGAAATGTTTGTTTCATAGAATAGGCAACATGTCTTCTAAATGTTAGTGGTCCATGTAAGACTTGGATATTTTCATTGTTGTTGATAGAGGCATGTTACGTCCAAGAAGAACAAGTATTCAAAGAGGGGTGGCTAGATTGATTCTCTGTTAACATATTAGTCCTTTGATTGCTTGCTCTTTGTTCCAGTGCATTATTTCTTTATTCTGTTACACATTATTTACAAACGTGACTCTAGTTAAATTTCAGTCTATCCCATATCCAGCTTTTCCTGGTGGAGCAATTATTGGATGTTCATCTGGCTTCTTGAATGTGCCTAAGATAAAGGGAACTCACACTGCAATGAAATCAGGTAAGAGATAGAAACACACTATTTTTTGCTGTTTGAGGTTTTCAAGGAATGTCAGATTCTTTAGGGTCTTCTCCATTCTTATGTTTATTAAGCCAACTCATCATTTCAGTTTAATTAACCATATACTGGGATACGCCATCGCCGAGTTGTTGGTTCCGGTGCAAATAATTTTTTTTCACATTTTCTTTGACAGACACATCTAATAGACTGAAACTTCTTGTTTGTAGGAATGCTTGCAGCTGAATCTGCATTTGGCGTGTTTGATGAAGGTCTAGATATGAATACATATTGGGATGCTTTGAGGAATTCATGGATTTGGGAAGAGTTATACAAAGCTCGGAACTACAGACCTGTTAGTGAAGCCATTCATTGTCATTTTTCTGTCTTTCCCTCTCTTTGATCTTTTGTTCTCTTCATATAACTATTCCTTTCATTTTTGAATCTTGAACTAAGAGGCCATCTCATCTTAGATAGCTGTCCATCCATTTTCTAACTTCTGGATAAATTGTAATAATGTTATAAATGATAATTTATGGGAAGATTTGTATTTCTTCCTACACGCATGTTCACGCCCACACACAAGCACACGCGCACACCGACACACACACAGTAAAGAAAATCCTTCAACATATTAATGGAATATGGAGTTTTTAGGCCTAACTCAACCCCAAAACCTAGCTAAGAGGCGAGGATTGCTTAAGCTTAATAAGAACTAATTTGGTCATATCTCTAGTTAGTGTTTTGGCCTAATAAGAACCTCAAAAAATACCTCACAATTAGAAATACACATTTGAAGTGTGGACAAATGAGGGTGGAACAACATTGATCTCAATACTCAACATGCTCCCTTGGATAGAACAGCAAAGATCCTAACCCATTAATTGAACTAGGATATGTTGTGATACAATCTTAGAATTTAAGTTTTAGGCCTAATTCAATTAGAATTACACATTTAGGCCTAATCTCAAAACATGCCCTCACAATTCGAAATACACATTTGAAGTGTGGATAAACGAGGGTGGAACAATATGGATCTCAATACTCAACATGCTCCCTTGGATAGAACAGCAAAGATCCCGGCCTAATAATTGAACTAGGATATGTTGTGATACAATCTTAGAATTTGAGTTTTAGGCCTAATTCAACTCTCAAGCTAGCTCATGAGGTGAAAATGCCAAGCTTTATAAGGACTAATCTGACAATTTCTCCAGTCGATGTTGGACTTCCATACTTACAAAAATTATAAAATGATAATAGAAAGATCAATGTGTAATTGTAATCAATTCTTCATACTTATCCCAATTCATTTCTCTTGATACTTCAAAATATGGTATGTTTTAGTTTGTCAAGTTAATATGCCAGAGTTACCGTTTGTGAAATCTCTTAATTGTAGGCCTTCAAGTATGGGCTTGTTCCAGGACTGGCCTTAAGTGGTCTAGAACAGTAAGATCTAACTTTCCTTATGCATTTCAATACTGGGGAGTACCATTTCATGTACTCCCTTTATCTTGTCTTGGAACTTCACTTACCCTTGTGTTATTCTTATCAGTTACATACTCAAGGGGAGGCTCCCAGTTACTTTGAAGCATGGTAAACCTGATCATGAAGCTACAGATGTAAGAAACATTGTTCAAGAAATTAAGCTTGTGAATGAATTTTGTTATTTACATAAAGTTTATTTACCATCTCTTGGCTGATACAAAATGGTCCTTTTAATTACAGCATAAAAACTATTTTAGAAGCCTTTTTCCATTGAATATGCAGAGATAATAGGGTGCTTTGCTTTTATTATGCGTGTTTTGTGTTCTAATAAAACAATGCAAATCCTTTTGCATGTTAGTGTGAAACTAATACTTTTTTTTTTGACATCTATGCAGGCTGCGAAGTTGCATTCTCCGATTCACTATCCAAAGGCTGATGGTGTCTTGTCTTTCGATGTACCTACCTCTCTGCACAGGTATTTTAACACTAATTCCCTCCTATTGCTTTCTATTAAGAATTCAATATAACCATTTTTCAAATCTTGAAGTTGCATTCTAAATATGCACTGATTTATAGATGTCGTAATTGTTTGTCCCTTCTTCTCTCTTTAGGGCTTTGGTAAATGATAACAACGTTGGGAGTTATTGAATTATTTGACAACATGCATAATTTCAAGCTCATTACATTGCTTCATAGACATTTATATTTTGTTTATGTATAGGAGCAACACAAATCATGACCATGATCAACCTCCCCATCTTCGATTGAAGGACCCAAAGGTTCCTGAACTTATAAATTTACCGGTGTATGCTGCTCCTGAGTCACGATATTGTCCTGCACGAGTATACGAGTAATGCTCACTTACTACAGCTTGGTTTCAGAAAGATATTTAGTTTCTGTATCATTCTGATATTTTTCATCTGTCCTTAAATATAGGTATGTTGCAGATGAGAAAAATCAACTGAAGTTGCATATTAATGCTCAAAATTGTTTGCATTGCAAGGTAAATTTTCAGATAGATTTGGAGGGTTTTATGTCTAATCTCTACTCTTCATTTTTTTTTCAAAGCTTTTATATCCTGCACGGTTTAATTCAGGCTTGTGATATCAAAGATCCGAAGCAAAACATCAAGTGGACAGTGCCTGAAGGGGGTGGCGGCCCGGGATATTCAGTGATGTAGATCCCAAAGTTAGTCATATATTATTGTCCCCGCAAAATTGCGGCTTCCTTAATGTTAATGGATTCACCTGAATTAAATATTTGTAGTTGTAGCATAGTCCCCCTTTTCTTTTTAATATATACACACCAATGATGGGTTATATAACAAGGTAACAAAATTTCACGGAGAAAGAATGAATAATCTGTAACTGTATTGCTGGAAAGAATGACAAGTTACAGATAAAAACAAAGATAGAATGTATTGAAAGTGATAGCTAGCAATCCAAAGCACTAACGGCTTCCCTCACCACAAGGTGATATTCTTTCTCTCTCCAAATCCCTAAAATTCTATCGTGCCTTATTCTCTAATTCATCCCCATACTAAATACTAACCAACTTCACGTGGTCCTCATCACCCTTTTGCTAGCTCAGCATCTTTCATTCCCTTCCCGTGTTTCCTCTTGTAAACTCCCCAAATTTGGGGCTTGTAGTTCTCCTCAAGGCCTACTTCAGCATTTGTGTTTCTATCAATACCACCCTCCTTAAACACAACCTTGTCCTCAAGGCTAAAATATGGAAATTGTCCTCGTATGGCAGCATCGTTTTCCCAAGTAACATCATCATTGGACTTATTCTTCTATTGAATATGGCAGCATCGTTTTCCCAAGTAACATCATCATTGGACTTATTCTTCTATTGAATAAGGCTCCGAGGAATTGAGACACCCCTTGTGGGATAGGCCAAGAACCAATAACCGTCTTTGGATGATAGGCAAAACTCATGTTCAGCCGAGTCCCTTTCAGCCAAGTAGGCTACGACAACTTCTCTCCATCCAGCCAAGTAGGCTAAGACAACAAAGCAGAACTCATGTTCAGCTGAGTCCCTTTCAGCCAAGTAGGATACGACAACTTCTCTCCATCCAGTCAAGTAGGATACAACAACAAAGTAGAAAATTCCATATCACCATGACACCTTGATAGAGCATCTGCAGCCTTATTGTCTAACCCAGACTTATATTTAACCTCAAATTGATAGCCCAAAAGCTTGGCCAGCCAGCACTGTTGATCAAGTGATGTCAGTCTTTGTTGTAAAAAATGTTTCAAACTTTTATGGTCAGTGTAAACCACAAAGGGCTTGCCTAACAGATAGTGTCGCTAGTGTTGAATGGCCAAGACTAAAGCCATGAGCTCCTTTTCATACACATATTTTGTTAAATTGCCCTCAGATAAAGCTTTGCTAAAAAAAGGTATAGGTTGTCTCTGCCGCATCAAGACAACACCAATTCCTCTCCCTGTCGCATCACATTCCACTTCAAAAGGAATAGAAAAATCAAGTAACACTAGTACTGGAGCTGTAGTCATGATTTGCTTCAGATGATTGAAAGCCTCCAGAGCATCTTTACCCCAAATAAAGTTATTCTTCTTAGTCAATTTAGTCAAGGGTTTAGCAATTTTACCATAATCCTTGATGAATTTTCTGTAATAGCCCGTGAGACCTAAAAACCCACGTACTCCTTTGACGTTCTTAGGTTTCGGCCATTATATAACACACATGATCTTCCTTGGGTTTACTGCTACCCCCTCACCAAAAATGATATGACCTAGGTAATCAATCTGTTTACATTGCCTTATTAGCAACAAAACAATGCAATTTTAAAACAGTCAACACTTGCTTCCAGTGCTCTAAGTGTTCTGTTTCATTTCGACTATAAACTTCTAAGATAGGGTCTAAATATATCATTCATAGTTGCTCGGAATGTGGCTGGAGCATTCATTAATCCAAAAGGCATAACAAGGTATTCATAATGCTCATTATGAGTCCTAAAAGTAGTATTCTCAACATTATTTTCACGGACACGAATTTGATGATAACCAGATTTTAGATCTATCTTAGAAAAAATTGTTGCCCCATACAACTCATCTAATAATTCATCAACAATAGGGATGGGGTACTTATCTGATACAGTAGCTTTGTTTAAGGCTCTATAGTCAACACACATACGCCATAAACCATCTTTCTTTTTGACTAAGATTACCGGACTAGAAAAAGCACTCTGCTTGGTCTAATCACTCCTGCAGTCAACAACTCTGTCACTTGTTTTTCAATTTCTTCCTTTTAGTGATGTGGATATCTATATGGCCTCACATTAATAGGACCATGCTTTGGGATTAATTTGATCTGATGCACATGTTTTCTTTTAGGAGGCAATGTTATTTTCTCTTGGAACACATCAAAAATTTGATTCAACAACTTAGTCACTTCTTCATGCCCAGCTTCTGATGTTGCCTTTATTTCATCATGATTAGTCCACCACCAATCTTCACCACCTCTCATGTGTTTATCCTCCAAGAAGGATTGTAAACACCCTTGTTTCCCTTGGAACCTACCTTGAGCTTGCAGATTAATCATCTTTCCCTCATAAAAACTACATAGAAAGATCCTTCCAGTCCACTACCGCTTTCCTCAGAGTACTCAACCATGATACCCCTAACACCACATCCAAACCTCCCAACTTCAGCACTAAAGCATCAACCACAAATGTTTGAAAACCCAAACTGATCCTAACTCCCTCATAGAATCCTTTAGAAAGAACCTTGTGATTGTCTCCCAATCTGATCGTTTTAGCTGCCATGGGGGTAATTGGCAACCCTAAAGCAGTAGTTATTTATGGGGATATGAAGTTGTGGCTAACTCCACTATCAATTAATACCACCACTTCGATGCCGACAATTTTTCCACCTATCTTCATCGTGTGAAATTCCCCCATACTACCCAAGACTTCCATAAATTTTGCATTCAGCTTCTACATCTTGTTCATCTTCCTCGGACCACCAGCTTGAATGAAGAAGGTGAAACTCACTTTGTGATGAATCACCCGTAGAGTTCTCCTTTTGCATCACCGTCTTCTTTCCCAACTGCTTGCTTAATTCGGGCAGCATTACGCTATGTTGTTGCATCTGTTGAGCGTGTTGTTGCATTTGTAAAAGAAGCTCTTGCAGCGTCATTGTCACACCCTCAATCTGCGTTTCCAAAGCTTCAATTCTGTCACCCATCCTTGTCATGAACAGTCTTCGTCGGTGTGGGTGTTGAATCTGACAGGTCAGACCAATTGATGGGTTATATAACAAGATAACAAAATTTCACAGAGAAAGAATGAATAATGTGTAATTGTATTGCTGGAAAGAATGAAAAATTAGAGATAAAAACAAAGACAGAATTTATTGATAGTGATAACTATCAATCCAAAGCATTAACGACTTCCCTCACCACAAGGTGATATTCTTTCTCTCTCCAAATCCCCAAAATTCTATCGTGCCTCATTCTCTCATCCATCCCTATACGGATTTTTTATTTGACTACTCTAGTTTAAAATGGTAAATACCACAATACTCTATTTTTCCCTCATGTTCGTCCACTCAAGTGACGAGCTTATGGTATATTTTTTTTATGAAGGTGCATTCTTTGTAGGTGACTGAGATGAGTTGGAAGACATATCTTGATCGTGATGTGGTGTAGGGGTATCCTTCTTCCTTGAATGAGGGTTTTGCTTGTGTTGAAGGTTGCTCAGCAAGAAGATCATTAATGTTAAAATATGGCATTTGCATCCGTTGATTCTCCGTCAGCAAAAAATGTTGGAATGAATGTGATGGTTGTGGTGGTTGGGGGTAGGTTTCGGGTTGGGTTTGTTGGAGAGTTGGGTAGTAGACATCATCAGGCGTGAAGGTAGAAATGAGTTGAGAGAATGAAGTGTTGAAGATCTGATGTTGGAATTGAGGGTTTGACTGATCAAAGTTTGATGGTGGAACTGTAGTGAACTGTAAGGGCGGTCGAAGGTTGGATTGGAGTTGATATTGTTGGTTGTTGTTGTAGTTGTAGTTTTGTTGAGGGAGTGGATTGTAGGAAGTTTGGTGTTGGGATGAGGATGCATAATGTATGTGTTGTTCGGTGGTATGTGTGCGTTGGTATGTATGTTGAGCTGATGAAGATGCGTGCCTCCTAAATTGAGATGTGTACGTTGGTGGCACATCCTGATGCATTGGTGCGACAGTTGGTTGTGTTGATGACAAACCTTGCATGCGAGGGTCGATCCAAAATTGATCTGGAGTAATATGCACATAGGGAATGACACGAAACCAAGTTAAATACTTTTGGCTTAACTTGCGTTCACCAATTACAGCGTCCCCCTGCAAAATCAAATGTCTTCTATGTTTTCATTCTCTCACCTCCTCTTTGTTTAAGTCTCGCCAATGAACTTTTTGGGCTTTTCTCATTGTCATTGTGCGGTGTTCCCTTAAACACCTTGGCGGGGAAGGGATTTGTTGTTCAAATCTGAATTGGAGTTTTACCCTATATGTTTGATGCATTTCAATAGTATAGAAACATATAAGAGAAGTTGTAGCACTACAGATCTGACTATCTCTAAGATTGGGCACCAGGTATTGAACGTACGACCTCCATATAAACTGCCACATATTAAAAAAAATTGTAATACCATTAAGGAGTATATGTAACAACTAGGTTCTATGGTTTCAAACTTACATCTTTTTCTTGCATGTGGTCCAATGCCTTTCGATACCCTTGTAGATGTAAACGAGGATTAACATCGTAATTCATCCGTCTTTGGGTCCATCTTGCATAAACAAAAAATATAAATATTGTTAGGCATAGTTGACTAACAAATATATATATATATATATATATATATATATATATATATATATATATATATATATATATATATATATATATATATATATATATATATATATATATATATATATATATATATATACACATACGTAAATGCGTGTTTTAATCTAGTAATACCTTTGAGCTTATGGATATGATGATTGAAATGTCCTACAGAAGCAAACAATGATATAGCCCAAGAAGTGAGTAGAAGAACACAACCATTCATGCTCCTAACGTCTTTGACTGCGGCCTTGCACATTTCTCTGTACAGTTTTGCAAGACATGCAGAATCCCAACTAAAGGTGTTGCATTTTTACAGATCTCCTACGA